ATCCTTTTTTTTATGTTTAGTAGCATGTAGCTGGGACTTACACCTCTTGTTATGGTTTTTGTGAATGAGTTTTGGTGATTTTCTCCACTACTTTCCTACAACCACAGTACCACAGAGGCAGGGTATTTCTGTTACCCCAGAAAGGAAACCGAAGGGGGCTTCTTATGTGTCCATCCGATCAAGTGCCACCCACTCTGGCCAGAAAAGTGTTTCTATGGGGAGAGGAGGGTTGGGAGGGGCAGGTGGGCTTTTCCTCTATGATCCTATGCTGGGTGCTCCCTGTGTACTGTGCACCCAGAGATTCCCTTGGAAGTGAGGTCCAGAGCCGAGGCCAGTGCAGGGGAGAGAGATTCGGAGGTGTGCGCTGTTGTACGTACCTGACAACCCTCCAGGAGCCAACATGGTGCCCACATCATTATCCTACCCTGTCCATTTTCTTTCTAAATCAGTAGCTTAAGAGAGTTGGTCAGGTCTAAGGCTAGGGTTTCTGGTGTTGTTGCCCATCAGAGGCTACCAAGTAGCACCGAATTGAAGAGCAGGTTCCAGGTGGTGAGTTGTATGTCTTCTTTAGACTGCTCAGAGATCACCTGTGTTAATAGACTATAACACATTGGTCTGAAAGTCAGAAGGAGCCTGAGACCGTATTGGACTGGGAGACACCCCCAGGGCACGGTGGTGATGTGGAAGATAGGTCATATGCATCATGTGGTTTTCTGGGGCCTCTCATGACCCAGCTCTGTCTAGGGTCTTCACTGATTTGGGGTTGTGGTGCTGCTCAGGCTCGGTGGGGGTGGGGCTCCCAGGCCACCCTGGCAGGGCTAGGGGCCTCCAAGGCTGAACCCAGCAATGCTCAGGGGACCATTTGGCATTGGGAACTCAGGACAGGTGCATGCTATGCCTGCACCCTAGCTGCTATATTATCTTCTGGCCCTTAGATGCCTTAGATGCTTCACTTCTTTGGGATGCCATGTCCTCTGATAATTTTATGTTGTTTCTCTGTCTCAGCATTATTGAGAAACTAAGTTGAGAGACTGAGTTGATCAGGCTTGGCAAAGGCGTGCCACTGAAGACACTCTCCGGTGACAGCTGGCACCAGCGCTCCTTCAGAAACCTGCCTTGACCAGGGCAGAGGAAACATTGACAGCTTTGGGGCCACCAAATATTTTCAGTTCATCTGTCTTTGCAGATGAATCCAGAGCCATTCATTCCTCAAGACCCCCTCAATTACTAGCTCTGATGGAGAAAGTCCATTTTCTAAATAGATTTAGCAGATATTTATCTGTTTGGGGATCACACCTGGTGGCACTTAGCTCCTCCTGGCTCTGTACTCAGAGTTCCCTCCTGGAAGTGCTCAGGGGACCATCGATGCCAGGAATTGAACCTGAGCCTCCCGCATTGCAAAGCTCATTTTGCAATGCAGGGTCATTCCTTTGAAGTTCTTTCTAGCCTGGGTCAGCTGATTTTTATATAAAACATCCACTTACATGCCAAACACTTTGAGAATTGTCAAAAAGAGTAAATAATAGCTCCTGCCTTTCAGGAATTTACAACTTGGTTCTATCACTTACCACAGGAGAAGAATCCCAAGCAAATTGCATCCACCTGTCTCATTTATGCACCGACCCTACTGGTTCCATCCTGGCACCCATTTATCTTCATTTGTCTGTGTCTCTGCTTTCTTCACACATTAAGTCACTTTGTTCCAGACTTTCCTCTTGATCTTAAGCAAGGCCGTGCCAAGAACCCTTTCATGAACTTAGAAAACCAGCCAAAAACTAATAGTAATGACTGTCTTTTGAAACAGTCATAAGGAAATTTTATAGTGCCATGTTTTCAGTTGATGGAAGACTTAAAATTTTCCCACACAGCATTATCTTCATAATTTATACCCAAAACTGACTTTTTCAGAACATGAGTAAACAATGAAACACTCTACCTTATTTGGACATCTCTGACTTTTCCACACCTGCCCTTCCTCTATTCCAGGATCCAGTCCCAACTACGGCATCACACTTAGTCATCATGTCTCTCAGGCTCATCTGTCTGTGACAGTTGCTCAAGTCTTTCCTTGTTTGCTCATGACCTTGTTGGTGCCAGGGGCTGCTGGCTCCATGCCTGGGAGCATGCTTCCCAATCTATTGGCCTGATGCCTTTTCCATCATCAGATAGGGATAATGGACATTTGGAGGAAAGAGCTCCATAAAGATAAAACTCCTTCTCTTCGTATCTCACAGGGTGGGGTCACGGCCATCACAGACATCCCCAGTGATGTCAACCTTGATCACTTGGTTAGGGTTAAGGTTAAGGAAGGGGTTTCCATTAGTTTCTATTTTTTCTTTCCCTAGTCTCACTTTTTGGGAAGTGGGCCACCACATTAAGCCTACCTGAAGTTTCACCTCCTGGAGAAGAGAGTACCTACATATATGATTTGGATGAATGCTTTTTGGAACAGAATTAAAATTCAGTCTTTCGACTACAATAAAACTCAACCTCGTACTACATTTCATCCTCGAGCTGTGCTTCAAGAACATTAGCTAATTAATCCTAATTAGACATTATTACAGAATCGCACCTATTCTCACTTCAGTGGTCTGTAAATAGAACAGTATTTCTAAAGCCCATCCATCTTTACTTCCCTTCTCAGCTGAGATTAATATATCTAAAGGCGGCGGTATCTGTGAAGTCTGTATCTCTGAATATATTCTAAAGAGCTTATCCTTAGGGGCTCAGCATGAGGAACTTTCCACAAATATTTCACTTTGTGTTTTCTGCTTTCCCAGGGAGCATTATTCCAAGTCATTTAAAAGAACGTGTTTGTAAGAATTGCCTTGGATTTTAATCTATTCATTATATTACAGCCTCTAAATGGAACGCCTTTCTTGAAGGAGTGCAAAGCTGATTATGATGGCTAAGTAGGTAGTATCTACATTCTCAAAAGACTCTGGTCTCTTTCTGATTTGGTTTCTAATAGAACAGTTTAGTTTAGGATGAGTCTTCTTGGAACCTCTCCAGGAGAACACATTGCATTTGGTCCTTAGCATGCACTGCCTTGGAGATTATCATTATTTTCCACCAATTGGCGTCTCTGCTTTCCTACCACCACACACTAAATGTGTAGGGAGAACATTTTGAGTTACAGCTCTGTCTCCTGATGTGATTGGTTTGCGGCATTTACGGTTGACATTGTTAGTTATGTTTCCCACGCCCTTTGCATCTTTTCTTTTATCCAACAGAAGCCCACTGCTTTCAGATACCCTCTCTGCCCCACAACTCCCTCTCCCCAGACACTCACACACCCTTAGTTCCTGGGGCAGATATGCTTGGCTTGAGGGCACTCACCCTCCTTTCCATGATTAGCCTTGCAATGTGCACATGAGGGAGAGCCCACACAAGAATTTCCTCTCTTGGACACTCAGCCTTCAAAGAGAGAAATGCCATGGTCCCTTGCCCTTGGATATTACCTCGTGCGGTTGTCAAGGTCAAGCTGGGGATTTACTTCCTCGATGTCGCTTTAAGCAGATCTAAATAAGATTTATGAGGGAATTAATAGTTAAAATGCAGGGAGGTACTGCTGTACATTTACTAGAAAGATTAAAATCCAGCATACCGACAGCACCAAATGCTGGTGAGAATGTGGAGCACGGAAACTCATTCATCGTTGGTGGTGATGACAAGTGGTATAGCCAGTTTGGAAGACAACTTGGCCATTTCTTACAAATGGAACGTGCTCTTACCATATGACCAAGCCATCAGACTCCCTGGTATTTGCCTCAAGTAGTTGAAAACTGTCCATGTGAAAACCTGCATATGGATGTTTATAACAGCTTTACTCATAATTGCCAAAACTTTGGCAGCATGCAAAATGTCCTTTGGTGAGTGAATGGATTAATAAACCATGGTTCATCTAACTCAGTGTTTCTCAACCTTTTTTTCCAACCACGGTCCCTTGTTTCCTTCCTGTGCTACCCCATCCCAACCTGTCCTACCGGTTTTGCCCCCTTGTCTTGGAGGTATACAAAAAGAACTTTTGTATCTCTCAGAAAATCTTAGGGAATATGTTATTATTATTTATTTATAATATATTTATTATTATTATTATATGCCTTCTTCATAAATGTATTTATTGAATGCTGTTTTGATCTTTGGTCTTGTTCACTGGGCGAGGATTAAAATTGGAAGCTGTGGTGTGGAAGATCTGTCTGTCTTGTGCTCTTGTGACTGTAGCATGGATTCTGGGGCTATGGAATGATATAGATCATACTTTCCTTCATCTGCACAAGAACATGTGCAATTCTTGCTCAGAGCTTGCTGGTCTCCAGCCCTCTCCCCCTCACCTGCTGGGCAGCCTCAAGGGCAGGAGTGCACAGAACTGTCTGCCCATAGATAGGGATGGTGAGAGTCTGCCCAGCCAGGCTGGCTCAAGCAAGGGTGGGGGGCTAATACCTGTCCACTGCTGACTTCCTCCTGGAGTGCCTGTTTCCCCTTAAACCTGGTTTCTTGGAGGATCTTTATGACATTCAATTTTTTAAAGTTACATCTAATTGAGGAGATCAATTTGCACTGGCTTACAATACTATGTAAATTTCAGGGGTACAATTTCATATCCCTCTATGAGTATTAGTCTTACCACATAATCTGAGTTCTAGTACCAGTTCCATTATTAGATTCTGCCTGGTACTCATTGCTCCTAGTCTTTCTCCCCACCCTCTCCTGGGAACCATCACACTCCTCATGGTCTTGGAGTTTTTTTTTTCCTTTTGGGTCACACCTGGCGATGCACAGGGGTTACTCCTGGCTCTGCACTCAGGAGTTACTTCTGGCGGTGCTCAGGGGACATATGGGATGTTGGGAATCGAACCTGGGCAAGGCAGATGCCCTACCCGCTGTGCTATCTCTCCAGCCCCTTGGAGTTGTTTTTGTTGGCCCACTTGCTTTGTTTATTTACATTCCACACAGGAGAGCAATCATCTCTTTGACTTATGATTTATGTCACTTGGCAGAATCACCTCAAGTTGCACGAGTGTTGTCACAAAAGGCAAGTCCTCTTCTTTCGTAACAGCTAAGGAGTACTCCACTGACTTATCTGTGGAGGCCATATGTAAGTTGCTTCTGTGTTTGCCTATTCTGAACCATGCTATTATGTACATAGGGATGCAGATATCTCTGAATTAGTGTTTTTAGAGTGATATTGATAGATTACATAGTCTGCCTGCTTCCTTCCTTCCTTCCTTCTTTCCTTCCTTCCTTCCTTCCTTCCTTCCTTCCCTCCTTTCCTCTCTTTCTTCCCTTCTTCCCTATACCCTTCCCCCTTCCTTGCTACTTTTCTTCCTTCTTTCCTTCACTTCTTCCTTCCTTCCCTCCTTCTTTTCTCATACCAAATTTCCATAGAGGTTGTGGCATTAAGTTATAACTATTCTGTATCTTATGGAGGGTCTCTGCATGCTCGTACCTGTAGGAATTCAAGCCCCTGGGTGTGGACACAGTTCTGATCCATACTTTAGAAGTGAGTACTTAGCATTTGAAATAGCCTGATTAAGAATCTACATTCTAGCGGTAGTTTGAGCATTCCAGGTATCTCTAAAATTTACACCTGGGGGTTTACTAGCCATGTAAGGATATCTTGCCTATAAAGTATGTGAGAAAGAGAATGAGTGGAATTGAGAGCAGTTATTGACCAAGATGTCCAGGCCACACCTCCTGTGTCAAGGAAGGAAGATTCTGTTAGTCCAGGTAGGGGGTGCCCAGCGATTTGAACCTGAAGCACTTCTGACAGGCATCTTATCCTAGTCTACTCCTGCAGAGTAAAGATGGGCTGTGTGTCCAAGGGTCAAGCTGGAGTCTTGGCTGAGCTACATGGACTGTCTGTGTGACTGCAGGCTGTGAGGCAAGCTCAAAATAGTGGGCTGACTAGAGAAGGGATCACTAAGTCAATGATATTTGGAAGAATCCTTCTGGATGGGAGAGGTGTGCTGAAAGTAGATAAAGAACCAAACGTGATAGCCTCTCAGTACCTATATTGCAAACCATAATGCCCAAAAGTAGAAAGAGTATGGGGGAAATTGTCTGCCATAGAGGCAGGGGGAGGGTTGAGATCGGGGGGGCGCGTATACTGGGGACATTGGTGGTGGAGAATGTGCACTTGCGGAGGGATGGGTGTTCCATCACTGTATGACTGACACTCAAACATGAAAGCTTTGTAATTGTTTCTCATGGTGATTTAATAAAAAAGAAAATAAAAAAGAAGATAAATTTTAAAAAAAATAATGAGCTGACTTCCACTAAGGCTCACTGAAATCATGCCATCCACCTGGTAGGCAGGTGGGACAGGGGTCCAGAGAGCCTGGCAAATGATGTGATGAGTCAATGATAGGTGAGTGTCTGTGGGTTCATGCCCCTGCCCTGCAGATCCTCAAGGGGATGACCAGGGCAGGACATCACCAGCCACCCGGAGCTCAGCCAGTCAGTGTCAGCTTTCGTATTTCACCCTCCTCAGTTTCACACAATAAATGGGGCTGCCTTGCGGGCCTGTGAATGACAATGGCATCTGTTAAAGCCCATGCACACTCTCCCCTGCCATCCCCACACAGAAGAGACCCTCCGCGAGGTGCCACATGCCAGCTTGCTGTGGGTCTCCTGCCCTCATGCTCCTATCCTCCACCCAACCTCCTAAACCCCTCCCCATTCTTGAGGTTCTTGAGAGAACCCTTCCTCCACTGTTCTCCAGAACTCACTCTCCTTCCAGCCCCAGGGGGCAGTCTTAGGTTCTCTGTGTTTCAGCAGCTGCACTGGAAACAGGCACTAAGGTAGCAAAAATAATAACCTCTCTTGGGGTTGCTGTGGGGGGAAACTACCCCATAAAATCTACATTCTTTCAATGCCGTCCTGAGTCTTAGAAGTATCTGCTAAGTGTTCACCCAACTTCCTTCCTTCCTTCCTTCCTTCCTTCCTTCCTTCCTTCCTTCCTTCCTTCCTTCTCTCCCTTCTCCATACCCCACCCGTCCTCCCTTTGCCCAGAGCTTTGGTGATTTGTCTGTTAAACACACAGGTCTATCACGCAGCCATGAAAGGGATGAACTCAGGAAGTTGTTGCAGCTTATTAACCAAGATAGATGTCATGGAGACCTAGTGTTCAGAAGAGAGTCCCTCTGGTCCTTGGTTTACATAGACTTCTAATAAGCTTAATTTGCTTTCCCACTTCTTAAGGAGATTAACAGGAGCAAATGAGAAGGAATTTGTGGTGGGCATACCCGCAGTAAGACGTGAAGGGAACTCAGAGGGGCATAAAGATCAGACCAAAGAACTTCTTACCTCTGGCTTTGGCAGGCGGAAAAGATTTGAGAGGGCCAGAAACTTGGTGTTTCTTGAGCTGCCTCGTTGCTTCAGAGTCCCGTGTTATGGTTGGAGTTGATAATGGCCCCGAGTTATTGACTCAAGATGAAGCAAGTTTTAACATGCTTTGTGAAACGAGGGGAGAAAGGATGCGCTAAGCCTTACAACTCACGACCACATGGCAATGCAAGCATTTGGATGCTGCAGGTGAAGCGTCCTTTTGCTCTTTGTTTAGGTCCTTCATGAGAAGCACCTGGTCATACCCTGACCAGGTCGATTCTAGTACATGAAACTTTGCTTTACGGCACCAGAGCAGCTGATGCTTTCTTCAGGGGCATGCTTGCTCCCCCAGGGAAGAAATGTCCTTACCTCCCATCTAACTCCTGCTCTATGTGGAGCTTGAGGCTGATGGATGGACCTAGAAATAACCTTCGTTAGGGAGGCGGCTTGAGCCATACCCAGCATGCTCAGGGGTGACTTCTGGCTCTGAATTCAGGAATGATTCCTTGTCGGTGAAAAATATGTAGTGCTGGTATAGAAATGGGGTCGGCTGCATGTAAGGCAGGTGCCTTCCCTCCTGTGCTGTCTCACTGCCCTTGTCTCTCCCCCACCCTTGCCCCTTACCCCATGCTTCCTAACCTTTCCCACTTGCCATCCCTTTTTACACTGAGTAGTGCAGCATGGGCAAGTGCTTCCAGAAACCTCCAGATTCATGCTTTTAAATTGATTTTTGGTTGTTGTGCATCCAAAAGCCTTTTACTGTTGCCAAATTTTTATGACCTCCCCACCATGTTCAGTTCGCTACTCCATAGAGGGACAGTACCCCTATTTAAGTGCCCTAGAAGGCCTGGACGTGTAGATCTTCTCCCGTGGGAGCAGGGAGGGCAACTGTAGTGATCCTGGGAAGGGCCCATGGAATAGTTCAACAATATCCCAAAAGAAGGGGCTGGAGCGATAGCACAGCGGGTAGGGCATTTGCCTTGCACGCGGTTGACTTGGGTTCGATTCCTAGCATCCCATATGGTCTCCTGAGCACTGCCAGGAGTGATTCCTTAGTGCAGAGTCAGAAGTAACCCCTGTGCATCTCTGGGTGTGATGCAAAAAGCAAGTAAGCAAGCAAACAAACAAAAACCCCCAATATCCCAAAAGAAAGCCCCAGCATGTTGGGGGCATGAGTGTCCAGTAGAGAGGCTGGGATTTTTTCTTATGCTCTGGGAACCCATTCCTGACCCAGAGTGGGGACACCTGTCAGTGGAACAGTGCTCGGGTGAGGTGAGCTGCGCAGGCTCAGGTCCTGCATCAAGAGCCTTCAGAAATGCTGCTCTTTTGGTAGTTCAGTCTGAGGATCCGGGGGAGCCCTAGGGCCACCCCCATCCGAGGTAGTTCCCTGCCTTCACTCTCCTGGTGTCTAAAAGGTTGTGTGACTTGCTTCCACCACTATATGGCCAGCGAGCCTCATCATGCATTCGACAGTATTTTCAGCTCCAGACTGAGGGGTTCTATCAAAACTTCCCAGCTCCGCTTCCACAGGCAGTCTGCAAAGGAGCAGGGTGCCAATAAAACTTTATTTAAAAGAGCAGATGGTGTCTGTGACCAAGTTGGCTCACCCTCCAACCAGATCACTGCCACAGAAAGGAGAATGGGACAGCAGCTCTGATCCTTCCTGGAGATCATGGAGGCTCATGTAGCAGTCAAGTCTCGCCCAGTGTGAGATCCCAAATGGGCACCTGGTGTGAATTCAAAATAAACTTGGCAGCGTTAAGCCTCTGAGATTGCGGTGCTATTACTTTCAGTAATACAATCAGTCTTTGTGGAGTGAGGCTGTTTCATCTTTGCATGCAAATCATCACCAGCTTCATTCACGCAGTACTCATTATCAAGGCTAGCGTTTATTGAACACTGGGTGCCAGAACAGCGCAGAGTCTCCTGCCCCCACGCCTGGCTGTCTTTGCCGGGGCCCCTTGAAGGGGAGCGGATTGAGTTTCCCTCCCCGCCCCGACCAGGGCTCCGGCAGCCGAAGACCTCCAGAACCAGCCACCACCATGCTGAGACCACTCTCCACATGCATGAAGGTACCAGCAGAGGATCAAAGGCATGCCGGTTCCGGGGCTGAGATCTCCAAGCCTGCTTGGATCGGGGCTGAGCATCCTCCACCCAGATCCTCCAAATTCCAGTAGGTGGGGGTCACACCCACCAACTGGCCCCCTGGCGCTATGTAATCCCATCAATAGCCAAGACCCAGAGACTATAAAACCCAGCTTCCGGAGCGACCTCGCGACATCTTATTATCTCATTCCTACTTTGGACAAACTGGCAGGCTACCAAATGTAACCTGCCCACACGGCAGAGTCTGGCAAACTCCTCATGGTGTATCTAATATGCCAAATACCAGTAACAATGATGGGTCTCATTCTCCTAACTCTGAAAGAGCCTTGAATATGGCACTTTTTAAAAAATCTCAGGGCTAGGACGAAGGAGATGTTACTGGGGCCTGCTTGAGGCAATCGACGAATAACAGGATGGTCGTGATCGTGATAGTGATCAGATGCCAGACCTACTAGAGGGCCCTCGCTGACTTCATTTCAGTAACTGCTCCCTGCTACTGTGTGGCGTGTGGCGAGGGTGTTGGTTTGATGTTCATTTGCGCAGAAGAATGGAATCAGGGAGCTGAAAGATCTTGCTCGCAGTTGCACAGATAGTTTTGTGTTGGAGCTGAGACTACAGCTCACGTCTGTGTGTCTGTGTGTTCCAAATCCTAAGTCCTTCTCT